AAAATAATGATGATAATACAGTTATTTTTATTTTTTACGTATAAAAGTGTAATTACTGCTCATTTGGTCATTAGAAATAAATACCAATGGTTGGGTTGGTATTCTTCTAATTCAGGTGAGATTCATTAAAACTACAGCACTTGAAATTCGTGTGTTTAATTTTACTTTGAATTATGATTTATTCACAAGAAGCAAAGTTTAATGAACTAAATCTGAAATTAGTTTATTCAATTTATGAATGTACATTAATTTTGTTTTCAGATGTTGCTTGGAAAAACTCCAAAACCAGCGTTGCCATGAGGAAGGAAGTTGAAACTTGATAATGAAATATCTGAGGAAATATTTAAAGAGAGGGCAGATAAAATTTAACTTGCATGTTGCATTATCAAATATGATTAATTTTGTAATGATTAAATTGTGTAGTTCATAGACACAAAGGAACAGTCCAATTTTTGAGACTGTTTTATATATTAAAAATAAATACCTAAAAATTAATCTACTGTTGAAAGAAAACAGACAAAGTTCCATTGACTTGTCTGCTTTTAATTGCTGACCACACAATTGTAAGGGAAATCAAAATGGGAAGGGATAAGGGAAGTTGAATGGTTCTGTTTTTAAGAACCACAATTTCAACAATTTTGTCAATTTCTTTAGCAGTATTCACAATCCTTCTTTCTCTTGTGTGGACAAGTGTAGTCAAAGATCCCATATCAGTAACAGCCATATTCACTCTTTTAACTGTTAAAATTTGTGACGCATGCTTACAGTGTCTTAATATCAATAAAGGTCTTGATCCAGACATAATATCTTAACTTATTTTTAGGGAATTGTGCATTCTTTTTATGTAGGCATCTATGGCTTATTTTTTATAAATCTCTGACTGAGGGTCACTTTTCATCACAATTTATTTATTGATTTTATCCTTAACTCATTGATTCCTAATTATCGTTCCATTATAATTCTTTCTGCTATTCCTAAAATTGTCGAGGCTTTACTGACTGATTTTTTGACAGTAAATTTGAAGAATCAGCTTCATACTGGTCAGTGTGGTTTACTTACTGTCTAGTCGTTCAACTTCAACTAATTTATACTGATTATGTTATAATTGCATTAAAAACCATTTTTATGTTGATTAGATTTATACTGACTCATCTACAAGCATCAACTGTTCTTGTAAATTGTGTAGACCATATTCTTATTCTGATATGATCAATTTCTTGAATCTGGATTCTCTTATCAAAAGTGTTACCTTTTAATCTTTATTTTTCAACTTGTTTATAAAATAACCAATCTACTGAATTGCTTCAGCTAGTTTGTTTTCATATTCCTTCCCATTCACTGTGTCAGAATTTACATTTCCATGTTCCTTACCACAGAACTAATTATGTTTCACACATAGAGATGGTCTAAAACTTTCATATCAATAGCTTTAGGTACTATTTGAAGCACTTAAATGCTAAATGAAACTTATTATAAAATGTGTACTTATTTATTTTATTCATGTATATTTTATTTTATCTGTAATTTTGTCTATATTTCTATAATGTTGCATTTTTGTATAATTTTGACAGTGAATTTGTTCCATTTGTTAATAATAAATAAATATATGTAATAATAAATGTTAGTTCCTTTAAACATTTATGTTTTATTACACAAAATTATTTTATATTTCTATAATGTTGCATTTTTGCATAATTTTGACAGTGAATTTGTCCCGTTTGTTAATAATAAATAAATATAAATAAATGTAATAATAAATGTAAGTTTCTTTAAACATTTAAGTTTTATTTCCCAAAATACATTCTTAATATGCACAGGATGACACCACTTTTAGTACTTTATGCAATGGCGTTGACGTCTAATTTACATCCTGAGCGCTAAAATAGATGTCCGAAAATATCACAAAAGTCCGTCAAGTAAGTTCTCTGGACGTATTATGGACGTCCGATTAAGGTCCAATTAACGTCCCGGTACGTCCATTTTACGTCCGCTCGGGACGTAAAATGGACGTCCATAGGACGTTTGGCGCAGCGACATTCGGACCAATATAGGACGTAAAACGGACGTAAATAGGACCAAAGCGGACGTTCGAGGGACGTCCCTAAAGTCCGCGAGGGACGTACTATGGACGTTCACTGGACGTACATGTGCTATTAGGGTAATATAAGCACAGAACAATCAGAATACCCACTCTGCTTGTCAAGATAAGTACGTGCATCTCGTTTGCGCATACGAAATCAGCCATGTTTTAAACGAAACCAGTGCTGTTTAGTAAAATTTTATCTGATTTGCATAGAAAAATTAGCTCAGTTTAATTTATTTACAGCAAACAATATTTCAAATTGACTAAGTTATTAATCTCTAAAAATTTAAATTACACTTCTGTCGTAGCTTGTTACAAATTTCTCAATTCGAGTCTATGTTTCCGTTTAAAATGTGGCAATCGCGTGCTGACAAACTTCAAAGACGTCATCTGAGAGTAGGCATTCTGATTGTTATTTATTCTGTGGAATAAGTCAGTAGAGTTTACTTGATGTTGTTCGTTATTTAGAACACAATAGAACACGTAGAACACAATAAATCTTATTCAAGTCTATGCACCAACAGCAGATAAAGATGACAATGAAATAGAACAATTCTACAACGATTTAGAAGAAATACTGAAAACAATAAAAAAACAACACATTAACATAATAATGGGCGATCTTAATGCCAAGGTGGGTCAAGGTAAAATAGGAGACCAAGTAGGAAAATATGGGCTATGGGCTACCAATAAAAAAATAGTGAGAAATCAAATAGACTACATTATGATAGCAAGGAGGTATCGTAATACTGTTAAATGTACTAAGACGTACCCAGGAGCTGATATAGGCTCAGATCATAACTCGGTAGTTACTGTGATAGAGGCGAGACCAAAAAAGATTAGAAGACCACACAGAAAGGCACTAGATTTAAATAAACTTAGAAACAAAAATATACGACAAGAAACAGGAGAAGAAATAAATGAAAATTTCCGTTCAGTGCAGCAACAAATTAGCAATACAAATAACGTTAACCAAAAATTAAAGTACATAAATACAGCTATACAGACAGCGAGAAAGAAACATCTTACAAAAATAACAACAAAGAATAACGGGTGGATGACACAAGATATACTAGACTTGATATGGAACAAAGAAGAAAGATGAAGAATTACCCAGACAAATACAAAGAAATAAATAAACATATACAAAAGAGAATAAAAGAAGCCAAAGAGGAGTGGATTAAAGAACAGTGTGAAGAAATGGAAACCTATGAGAAAAAGCACGATGCGTTCAATATGCACAAAAAAGTAAAAGAGATAACAGGAAGCATAAAGAAATGCCAAATAGGTAAACTTAAAGACAAAGATGGAAATCTTATTGTAGATCTAGAAAATAAAATAAAAAGGTGGACAAAATACCTGAATGAATTATTTGAAGACGATAGAAACAACTTAACTCAGATAATCAATGTAACTGGTCCAAACACATTGAAAGAAGAAGTAAAATATAGAATAAATCCGTAGCCATAATATTACATCTATTGAATACAATATACAGTACTAATATAATACCTCAAGAATGGTTGCTGTCTACGTTTGTCACCATACCGAAGAAAACTAAGGCAATGTAATGTTCAGATCATCGAAGAATCTCGTTGATGAGTCACCTGCTTAAAATATTTCTTAGAGTCATCCACAACCAAATCTATCAAAAGTTAGATATCGATATTAACGATACACAGATGGGATTCAGAAAAGGATTAGGTACAAGATAAGCTCTCTTTGCCCTCAATGTCCCAACACAGAGATGTCTAGATGTTAATCAAGAGGTGCATGCCTGCTTTATAGACTTTGAAGCGAGCTAATATAAAAATAGAAGACCAAACATCGGACGAAATAGAAATACGTAGAGGAGTACGACAGGGTCGTATATTGTCACCGCTTTTGTTTAATATCTACAGCGAACAAATATGCCAAAAAGCACTCTCACACACAAACGAAGGGATAATAGTCAATGAAGAAGTTATCAATAACATTCGATATGCTGCCGATACTGTGTTAATGGCAAGAACAGTGGAAGATTTACAACATCTACTAGTCTAAAGTATGAATGATATGTGTAATAACTACGGCATAAGGATGAACGTCAAAAAAAAAACAAATATATGACCTTCAGTAAGATTCCAATACATGACACTAGTATCAGAATAAACGGTACCCAACTTGAAAAAGTAAGCGAATACCAATACTTGGGAACCCTCATTAATGAAACAGGTGACCAAAATCAAGAGATAAAAAGACGTATTGAAATTGACATGTCTACCTTTACAAAAATGAAAAAATTATTTTGTAATCGTGATATTAGTATTCATCTACGAACTAGAATGTTAAAATGCTATGTATTGAGTACTTTGCTTTACGGTGTTGAGGCATGGACTTTTTTTTAAACAGAAGAATATTGAAAATCTTGAAAGCTTAGAGATGTGGTGCTACTGCCGTTTACTAAAAATAAGTTGGGTGGATATAATTACAAATGAAGAGGTAATACGCAGAATAAATAACGATCCAGAAGTTATTATAAATATAAAAAAGAGAAAACTTGAATATTTAGGCCACCTGATGAGAGGACAAAAGTACACATTCCTACAAAATATAATGCAAAGAAAAATCCAAGAAGCGCAGAACAATCCATCGAATTATTCAAAACAGCAGTAAACAAAATTAGAATCGCCATAATGATATCCAATCTCTGATAGAGAGCGGCACTCAAAGAAGAAGAACATCAAGATTCTTATTATTAAAAGTATTCAATAAATAGTGAAATATTGTTTGTTTTACTATTTCGAATCCAGTAATAACTTCAAAATTTATAGACTCTACCGGCGGCAATACAAAAGAATTTATGTTTATTACGTTTAAATGTGATCATACATAGGTAAAAATCATTCACACATTTTAAATAAAATTTCATACTTACCCCAAAAGCAAGCGATGATAATTCACGCATTCTAACATATCATGTTTCGTTTTCATGTTCCTAAATGCCTGATTAAGTATCTTAAACTGCATTGTTAACTCTATTGCAGTAAGCATAAAAATAAAATCGTATCCGTATAGAAGCGTGCATAAAAAGGTTTGGCTTTCACACTGCAACAAAGCAACGATCAGAAATCCATGTTTGATTGGTGGAATCCAGCTCATGGATGGTAGCTGCTGCACTAAAAATGGTTTCGAATCTACTAGTATATTTGTAAACAGAGTGAATATGGAGAAAACTATATATAATTTTACGACTACAGAAAGAACTTTCTTTTCTCGTTTAATCAAATCTTGTCCGTATTTGTTTCTTGGCCAGTATAGTTTTCGGATCTCCACTAGTTCTAATAATTCCTTTCTGTAAATTGTAACTGCAACCAGTTTAGATGTAACCTGAAATATAAGAGGTTTACGAAAGTTGTTATATACCGTTAGACTAAAATATCTACATAATAAGTTGCGTTATTAAAACAAATACTCTCCAAAAGCCTTTGTTGTTAACGACAAAAATTCTTTAACTGGATAAAAATACCAAATTAAAAAAACAAAAATACAAAACTTTAAAGTAAATATTCAAAATGCCCACCATTTACTTCAACACAATTTTGATCAGGTTTCGCAAAGATCTGTTAATATCAAATAAACCTTATATTCACGAATTTAGCCTAATTTAATTTTTCGTTTTTTCTGTTTTAAATAGGTTTGTGTCATTTTCAATGCATTGAAGCGTTTATTTGAAAAACAACACATGTCCATTTTTTGCAAATTTGACTTTATATGTTGTTTGCATAGAATATTAGTTTCTTTATCGATCTCACACACTCAGTTGTGTAAAAATCCCAGATGTCCGGAGTAAACTACATAGAAAATTCGGATCGTTTTAGAAAAACAACAGATGTCCATGCGGTTTGTTATAAAAGCAACACTTGTCCCTTCTTTCTCAACGGTCATCGCTAAGCGTGAATGATCTTGTCTATAAATAATTTATCAGTTGTGTGCTTTCTTTGAACAGGTGATGTTTGTTTCTTATTAGCAGCATGGCGGAAACTACTGTTCACCACAATATATCTAATATTATAGATGATAGTATTTGTGAAATTCGAACTACAGATCAACCACGAAAACGGAAAAGAAAAGTTTATCGAAGGGAAACCATAAAGCAAGCTAAAATACATGGAGTTGCTCACAAAACGCATAAAGGTGATAAGGATGTTTTAGCACGAACAACAGGAAATGACTGTATGTAAGTTTTTCGATAATAACAAGTTGTTTTCTCAATGCTTATAACTTCAATCTTGGTTGTAGGTGTAAACGTTACCGATGCTTCTATGTAATAACACAGGAACAACGTTCTGACTTACTGAATATGTTTAATAATATGAACACCAAAGATGAACAGGATTCATATTTATCAAGCCTCATTAGTGTTACTCCTGTCCAGAGACGACGCAGTCGTATTCCACAAGCCGCTTTACTTAACCACAGTACTACTAGTGATAGTAGAAATGAAGACACAAACAAAGTTCGACATCAACAGGGTCCACCACATGTAGCTTCTTTTATGTATAAAATTCGACTACCAGGAAAAGACGTAAGTATTTGTGCCAAAGCTCTTCGTAGTATTTTCGGTGTTACTGAAATGCAGATCCGTCGAATTAGAAATAGCTTAGCAATGAGTGGATGTTCTCCAAAAGATGCCCGGGGCAAGCATACAAATAGGCCTAAGAAGACACACCCTGCTGATATAGAAAACATAATAGCTCACATTTCTTCATTCAAAGGCCGCCAAAGTCATTATACACGGAGACTGGACAAAAAGAAAATTTATCTACCATCAGAGTTAAATGTAAAAAATATGTACAGAGCATTTAAAGAACTTCACCCACAGTCCAAGGTTTCTTACTTTGTTTATTATAACATATTTCAAACTCGATTTAACATATCTTTTTCCTACCCCAGATGTGACACTTGTACATTATGTGATGAAACTGAAACCCAACTCAAACTACCGAATATCGATGAATCAAGAAGAAAGGAACTGCTTCAAGTGAGAAACCTTCATCACGCTAAAGCAAAGGCATTTTATGATATAAAACGAAAAATTAAACATAAATGTCAGCATCGTAATAATGTATCTGCAATAGCCTTTGACTTTATGCAAAATCTTCCACTACCCAATTTGACTACAAATAAGGTTTTCTATAGCAGACAACTTTGGTACTATGTATTTGGTGTACACGACATTGGAGGCAATGATGTCCATATGTATACCTATCACGAAGGAATAGCTAAACGTGGTCAAAATGAAGAAACTTCCATGATATTTCATTATCTAAAAGATCATATACTCGCTAAAATGGATGAAATATGGTTTTTCTCTGATGGTTGCCCGGGTCAGAACAAAAACTATATCTTTATCCGCTTTTCATATATCCTGGTGCACGTATTGAAATTAGCATCAGAGATAACACACGTATACCCAATACGAGGACATTCATACCTACCGTGCGATAGTGACTTTAGTCTCATTTCTCGTGCAAAAAAAGTAGTTGTTGATGTTCCAGAAGAATGGGATGATCTTATTCGGCAGTCAAGGTCTAAACCTTCTCCATTTAAAGTGGTTAATGCTGGGAAAGAAACTGACTGGTGTCTTATGGACGAAAGTTTTAAGGATTTATTTTTAAAGAATCCAAAACCAAAAATTTCATTGAAACCAGCAAGAATGTACCGAATATCTGAGAAGTATCCTGGACAAGTTTTAATACGTCAAACTTATCACGGCCCATGGACGTTCCACACCATTACTGAAAAAACAACACCAAAACAAATAACTCTGATACCAAATAACGCGAAAAAGAAAATAAGTCAACCAAAGTTTCGCGATCTAATGGAGTTAACTAAATATCTCAAGAACCCTCTTAATAAAGAATTTTATCTTAATCTAGAACCAGAATCAGGGGAAACCGAGGACAATACTCCAGTCGTAGAACTATTTAGTGATGATAATAGCAGTGGTAGCGAATAGACATCATAGAATTTTTTGATATTTCTACGAGGATATTATATATTATGTTCATTTTCCAATATATTTTGCTAAGTTTCTACCGATTTTTGTTTAAAATATCAATAAAATTATGAAATCAACTTGTACAATTATTTTGATAGCCACATTCCTTCCAATGAATATCTTAGTAAAGGTAAGATTTGAAATAAATTGAAGCTAGGCAGTTTTTCTTGATTTGCCAAAATTTTAATTTTTGGACAAGTGTTGTTTTTCAAATAAACGCTTTTATGATGTTAAACGTGGTTTAACGTACATTTTTTCAAATAGGTTTATGTAAATATTAGACAATTTATGTAGCAATAAAACTTGCCGTTACTCTTATTTGATAATAAAAAGAATAAGTGTTAAAATATTTAATAAAAAAAATAATTATTTATTAAATAATGCCAAGGCTTAACCATTTTTCCAATAACGAGATGCACGATATGATTTGTGTTTTTTTATAATCAAATTACAGTGGAACCGCTGCTGCTCTAAGATATTTTCAATTGAACCCAATTCAAAGAAAACTCAACTACAAACTGTTTCGGAACCTCTACAACTACCTACGAAACGGAGTCTTGACGTCCCAATAGTCAAAACGGCGCTATACTGTCCATGGAGAGGATGAAATTTTAATTCGTGTTGCAGAGAATCCAGATATTAGATTGGAAATAAGTCAAAAACATGTGGAAAATATTTTCGAAAATACAAAATAAAAATCATGCGTTGGATGTTATTTATAAAGATAAATAATGTATGGACTGCAACTCGCAGTCAATACAATCTGCAATCAATATTTACGCAGAAGAGTTCTGCGTAAATATTGATTGGTCTTTTCACTGGTCTTTTTAGAAGCAAATAACTCGCAAACCGATTTAATTATATAAATTAAATAAGACTAACTTTCTTGTAAAGTTTAACGTTTTTTAATTTTTTATATTGTCCTAAAGCCCTCCATTTTAAAACTATTAATTTTTAAATAGAAAGTGTAAAAACATACAAAAATATTGCAAAATTAAAATCCTTAAAGCCAAAAGTAAAAATTCAGATTTCTACTTGTTCGAAACCAAAATTCAAATTCTTAAAGCAAGCATAACGATGAATGACCGACATGGGGAATCTAAAATTGTATTCTACATTATATAGATTTATCTTAATAAAAACATTTCATGAATTGGCTTCTAATACTCGAAATACGAGTAAATTTTCGAAATAATAATATTAACATTATAAATATAACTAAATTTACCTGTGTCCATGAACATGTGGCTTCCAAAAACCCTGTAATATTTTCTAGAGATCGTTCCATGGTAAATGGTAATGTTAAAATGAAGCTAAAAGCAAAAAAGTTACAAATATGGGAAAACGCAAAAATAAATTTATCGATAATGGTTTGTTCCTTCTTTAGTCCACAGGCACTGAATATTTTTAAATTTAAAATTAAGAATTTGTCTTCCAAATTCATACTGTACACTTTTTTATAAAAATTTGTTACTGAAAGATGTGATCCGCCAAATACAACTATTCAGAAAAATGTTGGTTGTATTATGTATTTAAAGGATTTAAAAAAATCTCGTATAATTGGATTAAATTAATGGAAATTTCGTTAAACTCAAACGACAAGCACATTTTATAAATATTTACCGACAATATATCAATTATTCAACTGTAATTGTATTGCGACAATCTACTTAATTTCTAATTCTGGTTTTTAGTTTTCATTTTTTGCAATTTATTCGTTTAAATAAGCAATGAAAGAATATTAAATAGCCAAACCAAAAAAGTAGTCTGATAATGTAAATCTCAGACTAAAATACCTTTTATCACAATATAATAAAAAGTAATAGTATGTAGGTATATATATATATATATATATTATTATATATATATATATATATATATATATATATATTATATATATATATATATATATATTATAATATATATATATATATATATATATATATATATATATATATATATATATATATATATATATATAGTATTTATCGACACCTCCTACGTAAAGTATCATAACCAACAAATTTCGGTTTTACACTTTTATACTTCTAAGCATGTAAACTAACGTCTGCAATAATTTTTTTTTTATTTCGAACATATGTGTCTCGACAGCTAATGGTCATTGACACAGGTACAATTTACATTTATGTTTACATGGTTAATACTTTACATGGAGTACAAATTAGTTACAATACACTTTTTTAATACATTTTGTTTTAAATTAAATTGTATAACTTTGTGTTTTTTAAAAAGTTTAATATATTTTCGTAGTTACTGCTGTTTGAAATAAGAATGTCTTTTAGGTTGTTACCAAGATTAAATTTTCTTCTGGCCGCTAGGTAGTGTTGACAGTCAAGAAGTACATGTGCTACGGAAGTCGTGGTGTTGCAATACTGGCACAAAATCG